ACGACGACGACGACGACGACGACGACGACGACGACGACGACGACGACGACGACGACGACGACGGTATCGGCGCCGCCGCCGCCGCCGACGACGACGACGACGGTATCGGCGCCGCCGCCGCCGCCGACGGCGAAGAACCTGCCGGGCCGTCGCGCCCCAGGCCGCTGGCGGGCCTGCGGGGCGTGCAAACACGCGGCCTCGCCGTTGTTATTGTTGACAACGCCGCCGCCGCCGCAGGCGCCGCCGTCGCCATCGCCGTTCTGGGAGCCCAGACCTGCGACGACACTTGATTTTTCAAATCCTATATAGCGTTTTCCATCTGATTATTCTGGCCTGTGGGGCCCGTCCTCGGGCCCCGAGAAAATCAAAACCGATCCCAGGGCGAAAAAGCTACCCCCGGGCAAGGGGTCGGGACCTCTGGGGCCGCGCAATGACGGGGCTTCGCAGGAGTCATCGTTGACGCCAGCGCCGCCGCAAATGCCACCGCCGCCGCCGTCGTTCTGGGACTGTGTTTTGGGGTGCCAAAACGGTGCGGTGACAGACCGTGCGGCGACCTCGACACCCCGAGAAACCTCACCGCACGCTCCGTCACCGCACGGCCTTGGGGCCTTGGAAGGCCCCGGTTGCCCGAGACGTCCTCGGAGGACGACAAGAAGTCCCCAAAGCCGTGCGGTCACGCGGCGTGGCCACCGCACCGTTCGGGGGGCGCCTCCGAGGTCTGGGGGGCGGCGGGGGGGCGGTCCCGCACAGTGCTGCCCCCGGCAGCCTCACCGGGCCCCAGGACCGTCAAAAACTGCTCAGGAAAACAAGCGAAACTGCTCCTGGGGGAAGAGAGGAGGTCCGCAACTCTGGGGGGAGCCCACGCCGTGAACAAAAAAGGAGCATCACGTGGGGGATCTGGGCTGCAAGAACCCAGGCCCCTGGGGTCGTCTGTCTCACACCTCGTGGACCCCCCAGGACTGCCAGGCACGAGCTGGGTCGGACCGCGGAATCGGATCGGATGGGAAATGAATCGGACCACGCCCGAATCGGCGTGGAATCGGATCGGGACCGGATCGTCTGGGATCGCGGATGGGCCTCGGCCCCTGCAGGCCGGGAGGGACCCGGTTCGTGCCAGATTGGATCGGATCGACATCGGAATCGCGGTGTGGAGATCGGGTCGGATCGGACCGCGAGCAGCCCCGACGACTGCGCCCCCTCAGCAGCGGCGGCGGCAGAAGATCCTCGGGAGGGGAAGGCGCCAGCGTCGCTGCGGCAGGCTCGTGCTGTGACGAGCTGCACGTTGGCTTCTGACACCGCGTGGATCGTTCAGCCTTGCCAGACCTCAGGCGTCGTGATTTGTTCTGTTGCAGCGCGGACCCCTGGGGAAACGAAAAGGTGCCGACACCGCTTACGTATCCGTTGACCTCCCGAGCACGCTCGGACCAAGAATTCGAGGCGAATCCAGCCGTGGCGACGAGGGTGCCGGTATCGGCACCTGTTCCTCCTTTGACCCCCGGGAGGTCTGGGCCCTTTCTCACCAGGACCAGCCTGTCCTCCTCCTCCTCCTCCTCCTCCTCCTCCTCCTCCTCCTCCTCCTCCTCCTCCTCGTCCTCCTCCTCCTCCCGGCCTGTTTCCCGGGCACGGGCCCCCAGGCGCCAGGCGTGGCGACAGGCTGGCCGCCCCGAGCTATGTCGCAACGAGAGGAGGTCGTGGCTGGGAGGCGAAGACTGGTGCATCCGGGGGAGGGGGGGGAGGAGGAGCCCAATCAATCTTGAGCAGGGACCGGCCGTCCCGGCATTCCTATAGGCCTACCACGACAGTTCCTTGGAACCCAGAAACGCTCTAAGAACAAAACCAGCATTCTTAGAACATACACCCGATGCGTTCAAACAAGACAGTCTCGGCTAGAAATGTGCTAAGAACATGTCGTGCAGACCCGAAAGGCTCTTGGAACATTGTTTGGTGGGCCTATAGGCACGCCAGGACGCTTCGCCACTGCTTGACAATTGCGCTCGTGGGCTGCCTGTGGCGATGACCAGGGGCAAATGAACGGCCTGGTCCCCAGGGAGAGGCGCTGCGTGGGCGAGCGCGTACTCGACGCCGGCACGACAACGGGAATAAACCTGGAACTCACGGCTGGTTGCACCCGCTTCTTTCCACAAGCGTAAATGAGTTGTTTACCGTTTTGGCCATCATCGTCAATCGTCGCGCTCAGGAGACTAATTCCCGCCCCCCCAAGGGTGGGAAGAGGGGGGGATAATTACAAACTTTGCATCTGGCAGTATGAAGACCCAGGAGATCGGAAACCTCGAGTTCGGATGTCGACCTCCACTTACCAGGAGATGTTAGCCACCTTTGACCCAAAATAGTGAGTTGCTGCACTGTGCAGGTCGAAGACACGCTGTGGTGCAAGCTATGTGCTGTAAACTATGTGGTGTGAATTTTACGGTGTGAGCTATGCGATGCCGTGTCAGCTGCGTGGTGTCAGCTGTGCTGCTAGCGCACGGGGCGCCTACGGGGCGCCCATGAGCGGGCACCGGGCGCCAACGCGGCGAATCCTCGGGAAACCTCACGGGGTGCCCACGAGCGGGCGCGGATGCCAACGTGGAGCCTCCGCCAGAAACCCACAAAACGCATACAGCGCGCCCACGGGGCGCCCACGAGCGGGCACCGGGCGCCCACGCGGCGACTCCTCCCGAGACCCGCACAGCGCACAGGGCGCCCACGAAGCGCCCACGAGGGGCCACGAGGCGCCAGCGGGGCGCATCCGAAGGAAACCCAACCCGGCACACGGGGCGCCCACGAGGCGCCCACGGGCGGGCACGGGGCGCCGGCGCGGCGACTCCTCGGGGAACCTACACCTCGCACGGGGCGCCCACGAGGCGCCCGCGAGCAGGCGCCGACGTGGCGAAAGTCCCGGAAAGGCATCCAACGACTGCGGATCTATGGCGACCTCAATCCGCCGCGCGGGATCCTCTGCGGCATGTTTGCCGGCGTCTGGAAAGGGCCGTTTCTGGGCCCAGGTCCCAAAAGCGGGGAAATCCATGAAAAACGCCCAGACCGGAAAAGTCACAACTATCGTCGAAGATCTGGGGAGGACCCTGAGATCCGACGTCGCGGAAGGGAACATCGTCAAAAACCACAACCGAAGACCTGGACCCGCTCTTTCTTTCTGCGGCGTTTTCGAGCCGGATCGATCTGGGATGGTCCCAGGGCCCGCAACTGGGCCAGATCGCCGGTGCGGTCACGGGGCCCGAAACGCGGCCCGAAAAATTGCAACTCCTGGGTCTCCAGGGGAGGAGGCCTCCGCAGTGGAGGCCTGACCTCCCCCTTGAAGGCTTCGTGGGCCCTCTGCATGGGAACAATTCGGGGCCCCAAAACCGTGGACTGGCAATTTCAAAAGGTACCGATACCGCTACGGCAGGTTCGTGTCGTGTCGACCACGACGTTGGTTCCTGACACTGGTTGGATCGTTCAACCTTGAACGATCGGCCGCTTCCCAAACGTCAGATCGTTTTTAAATCGACCGATTCTGGGTCGCTGGCGGCGTTCAACGTGGAACGCCGGCGGCGGGGTCGCCGCCGGTCGACAAGACGCGAATCCACTGTACTCCCCAGACCTCTCCACTGGTGTTTTCTGACCAGGATTTCGGAGCGAATCCAGCGGTGGCGACGAGGGCCTCCCAGGAGGCCCAAAAAAGCAAAAACGAAGGAAGGGTAGCAGTATTGGGATAGCTTTTCTTCCTCTGATGAACGATCTCACCGCGCGGTCCGTCACCATACGGTCTTGGGACCTCTGAGGCCCCGGTCGCCCGAAACGTCCTCGGAGAACGGCCCGAGTCCCAAAACCGCGGGGTGACCCCGAATCCCCACGGACTCACCACTCGGTGTGGTCACCACACCGTTTGGGGGGCCTCGAGAGCAGCGACGACGAGGGGGCCGCCTGGAGCGCTCAGCGCCGGGGGGGCGGGCGCCAGGAAGGCGGCGGCGGCGGCCTCGGGCGCTGCTCTCTGGCAGGGCAATTCGGCTACAGGCAAGAGTGACCCTGGGTAGGAATGACCTTTGGTGCACGGTTTGGGGGGGCCCAGGGGGGGCCAAACACAAGCGCGCAAGACGCCACTGCTGGCCCCCGTGGTCCCATGGAGCCCTCGGGGGCCCCCACTCTGTCTCCCTCTTCGGCCCCGCTCTCGACCTCCGCAGCCTTTGGCTTAGACATGTGCTCTCTCCGTGCGCCGTGAGCCTGTATGAAAGATCCCCCTCTCGCCCCCATCCTCCGAGTATGCCGTCCGGTGATGTGACAAGTGGCAGCTGGAGCGTCGCAGGGTGGAGAGTCGAGGGACCGAGCAACACGCACAGCCACGGGCGCAGAGCAGCAGCGAGCAGAGCAGCGAGCACCACCGACGGAGTGGTCTCGGGAGGAGCGGCAGTACGGCTGGTGGCATCGGCCGTGGCGGCTCACAGGGCCTCGGTATGACGCGGACAGCGTGTGGAAGGGCTCAGAGCCTCAGTGAAGGGGACCTGGGAAACACAAATAAATAGACACAAATGACAATATTCCCAATGTTTTCCCATATTTCCTGGGTGTTTGTCTCCCCCCCCCACTTCCCATATTTTCCCATACTTTCTGGGGAATCGACGATTGACTGTGTCTGTGTGTTTTTTTCCCCCTCCGAAGTCAGGTGAATGGCTGGAGCAGAGACGCATGGGCCGACGCAGGAAGAACTCAGCTGAGTCGAGAGACGTCGGCCAGCCTCCGACTACGCTGGGCTTCGAGACTTTGGAGCTGTGTCGCACGAATCTGCACTCGTGGGCCTCCAGGGCGGGGTATCCTCCGTCTCAGAGAGCAGGTCGAGTCGTTGCCGGTAGACGTTCGGTTGAAAGTCAAAGCACTGAGGAGACAACTTGAGAACGATGAAGGATCGACTATGATCATGGAGCACATGGGGATCCTCAACGGAGCAAGGCCCGAGGACAAGAATCGTGAAGCTGAAGGGGCCGCTCTGTTCGACTATGGGCTGCGCAGAGGAGAATCTTTGACAGACTACGTCCTGCGTAAGGATGCGCAAGTGGCAGACGCAGAGGTACACGGCCTTCACCTCCCAGACTCAGTGGCTATCCAGGTTCCTTGAAGAGGGCGCGAACCTGAGTCCGCAAAACCGCATCAATGTGAGAACCCTGGCCGGAGGACAGACCGACTTCAAATCGATCCGAGACGCAATGCTCAAGTTAGGCAAACGAGAGCGGGGAGTCCTACCGTCCGGGGCCCTCGCGCATCAGGTTTCCAAGACGTTCATAGCAGGCACAGAGGAAACGGCTACGGCGTCACCTTCAGTGCAGCAGTCGCAGTCATCGTCAGATATTGCACAGCAGTGGATATGCGTGGAATCATACTTTGCAGACCCTCCCGACGACTCCTTCGAGTTGCTGGAAGGAGAGGCCGACGCTGTAACAGCCGCCATAGAGGAAGAGCAACTACCTGAAGACGAGCTGATGACGGTGCTAGCGGCGGTGATAGAGGAGCAAGCTGGAAAGGAGAAACGACGCACATGGGCCGAGGCGAGGAAGATGAAGGCAGATAAGCGCATCGAGCGAGATCTCTTCGACAAGAAACATGACTCTCGTCCCGGCTATAAGAGAATTACCTCTGGTGATCTCAAGCGCCGTTCTCAATGCGCCAACTCTGGCGACAAGAGTCACTGGGCTGAGAATTGTCGCAAACCATTCTAATCCAAGGAAGAACGTATCGCAGCAGAGACACGGAAAACGGTTCCAGGAAAGAAGGAGGCCAGGTCATACTGCTTCGCATCGGACACAGGAGACCCATCGACCTTTCACTTCTTCGAGAGTCAAGAGTTTGCAGGTCTGAATATTTGGGCGTCGAGTGGTCTCGAGTGGACAGGCATCATTCAGGAACCTGGGGGGCGCTCTCCTTCTCTGTCGCTGAAGTTCATGAAGGATCACGCGTTGGTGGACACGGCCGCAGGGCAAGCGTTGATTGGCAAAGAAGATCTGGACAATATCATCCATGCCTTTGCTAAGAAAGGGTACCGTGTGCACGTCGAGCGCGGAGAGGCTCAGAATCAGACAGCCAGCGGCATTGGGGGCCGTACCGATCCTGTTGGTCGAGCGCGGGTGCCAGTGTCGCTTGCCGGATACGGTTTCGTGGAGTTCTCGATCTTGGAGCAGCGCTGCCCACCCCTTGCCTGCTCGATTCTTGGAGCTCATCGGGGCGAAACTCGACTTGAGAGCAAGCACGCTGGAGGCTGACGACTGCGGCACTCGAGTGGCGCAGCCGATGCATCGCCATGGAGCACGGCACCGATCGATCCGCCTCGTGCATTCCAGCGCACAGGACTTCGAGGTCTCAGCTCAAATTCGAGAGTCGCTGCCGAGCGCGTGCTTTCCGGTCGCCAAGGACGCCCGGGGATGGAGCAGTGAGGGGAGCACGGGAGCAGCGGACACTTTTGCTGTTGAAGTGGGTCAGTCTTTTTCTCCCTCCATCTCTCCTTCATCTTTGGGGTCTGGGGGCTTCGAGGGCCTCCCAATGCGAATGGGCCAACAGCGGCACAGAGGACGCAAACCTCTGCGGTCCGGAGCTCTTGCAGCTCGAACCTCGATTCGAGCCTCCTCCGACATCCTCCCAGATCGAGCAGACGTCCCGAGAGCAGAAGGTCATCAAGCAGAAGAAGTTCAAGAGGGCATCCTCAGCGGGTCCAGCCCGTCGCCTGACTCCGCTGAAGGAGGCCGATGCGGAGGACCCAGGGAGCTTCGCGAGCGGCAGCGAGATCCAGGACTGGCAGAAGGCGAACCCCATGCTGGACGAGATCCTCGACACTGAGGGGATGAGCGAGCACGAGCTGCAGCTGTTCCACGAAGGAGCTCTTCGCCTCGAGCCGGCAAAGGCCACGTGGAGGCTTCTTGGTGCGAAACCATGGCGGCCGCGACCATGAGGAGCGTCGCGGGGATGCTTCCGCATGTCATGCAGCACGGGGAGGAGAACACGGACGACTGCCCCCATCCTCCTTGGGCGCAATGGTCGAGAGCCAACGGGCACGCGACCTACAAGTTCTGCGGGCGCTGCAACACCAGGATCGCCTACCACAAGAAGACCGAGGAGGAGAAGGCCGAAGCGGCCGTTCGCCGGATGGCGAAGGCCAAGTCGGCGCAGGTGCGCAAGGAGGTCAAGCAGATGGTGGAGCAGCAGGTCAAGCGGTACGAGGGACCTCGCGCAGGGATATCCGTGGACGCCACGTCCAAAGATGCAGTCTCCGCCTCCAAAGCACGGGCTGGATCCTATCTCGGAGCAGTCGATCCAGGCGCCAGCCAACCTGTACGTGTACCCGAAGAACGGCTACGTTCCCATCAAGGCGGCGCCCACGGTCGACCCGTACGGCCACATCTCCAGTGTTCCCCCGCCGGCGACAGCGATCCCAGCGAAGCCTCCTCCAGGCACGAGACCCTTGAACCAGCTCGAAGTGATGCAGGCTATCTCAGACATGACCCATACAGTCCAGCAGCAGCGCTGGAAGAACGAGCGCAATTTCCAGAGCATGAGCGAGATGATCAATCACCCAGCCCTGACCGACAGCGACATGGAGCGCCTGGCCTGCACCATGATCAGGGTGATGCAGCGGGTGAGCCAAGGAGATACTCCGTCGAGCGGGTCGGGAGCTACCCAGGTGCCGGAGGAGCCCGAGGATCTAGACGGCGGGCGATAGATGAGACTGGACTTATTCATAATCTCGGCGACAGGCCAAGAGCCCTCGGTAGGGAAATCCCCGGGGATACCTTCTTCCTTCGGGACATGGGCGTCTGGCACAGACGTCTAAAACCTCACGTGGGGCTCTCGGAGATAGATCCGGTTCTTGGAATCTGAGACTCGAGGCACCAGCGTTTTCTGGAATCCTCGGACCTCGAATCTAGGCTAGGATGGTCCGTGCAAACTCTTGCGGGCCAGGAGCGTGCCTCGTTCCTCGTCGTTCTCGCCATGGGCGCGTGCGGAGCCTCTCCTCCTCCCGCCTTATTCCCCAGGGAAGTGAGATGGGTTGAAGACGTTGCGTCAGATGGGAGGTCCTTTTCAGCTCGCCGTGGCTAGGGATCACCTCGCACGCCTGCCGAAGCGCTTTGAGGCAGCACCGCTCGAACAAGGGGTCTGAAGAAGATCGAGGGCTCGGATCTAGGCAAGCTAGAGGCAGAGCTTCCAGCGGAGATGTGGACATTCGAGTGTGGTGCTCTGGAGCCCCGAGGGACCCCCTGACGAGGGTGAGCTCTCCTCCTTCCTTCCCTGTTCTCTCTCTCTCTCTCTCTCTCTATCCGTGCATTCCCGAGGGGCTCAGTCGGAAAGGCGAAGTCACCGACGAGACGAGAGCGAGAGACGAGCTAGGGACCCGCGAGCGCGAGTGCCACGACATCGTCGAGGACCGCTTCGCGGCCGCAGCCCTAAGGGGGTGTTGGGCCCAGTCGCTCGAGGCAGCCCAGCGTGCCCCGGGAGGTCCGCGAGGCCACGGCGCGGCTCCTTAGAGGACCAGGGCCTTAGATCTTCTCGGGAGCGACGTCGTCATCGGCTGCCAGAAGCAGAAGCCGAACGAGTTCGTGCGGGCTCCATAATTCTGGAGGTATGTTGCCCGCCTCGGATTTCTAAGGAGCTGGCCCGCATGGGCCATCGCGTCTCCCCCGCCGTCGACCTCCTCACAGGCACGGGTCTTGGGACATCCAAAGGCCAGAGAACCCTATGGGACGCTATCGAAAGGGACTTCCCCCTTCCGATACGCACGTCCCCACAATGCAAGGCCTTCAGTCAGGCCAGGGTCCCATCCTGGGGACGCATGGACCCAGACCCAAACTGAGGTCGAACAACGGAGACTGGAACACATTAACCTCTGCACGCGAATAGTGCGCCATCAACTGGAGCGCGGGCAGTATTGTGCTCTGGAGCATCCAGTCGGAGCCAGTTCCTGGGAACTTCGGGACGGTCAGGATCTTCTCCAGTCAGAAGGAGTCACGACTACCGTGACGGATCAGTGCAAGTTCGAGCTGTCGGTTTCCCCCGGGACCGTTTCACGGAAGCGTACCAGGTTGGTCAGTAACTCCCCTCTGATTCTCAAGGAGTGCACTCGTCAGTGTCTGGGGGACCATGTCCATTTGCCGCTAGAAGGGGGCACAGGACAAGCAAGTCTGAGAAGTACCCTGACGAGCTCGTCGCCTCCATGGCCTTGGGCATCGAGAGAGCAGCATGGTGTTACCACTTTGCCGACGCCAATTCTTTTCCAGCCCTGAGGATGTCTCTCACGATCGATCCTACACCGTAGCGTCTCACTTGCGGTCTCGCCCTCGGGCACTTGGAACCATTCCCAAAGAGGTCGATGCCGGGGGTCTGGAGGAAGTGGCCCCCGAGGGGCTTCCAGGTCCTCTCCCAGGGCCGGTGGGGACTCCCGCGGGCGAAAAGCCCTCGGGAACGTTGAAACCAGCGCTGCAGAAGGAAGTTCATCGTCTCCACGTGAACCTAGGTCCCCCCCTCCCTCTAAGATTTCCTAAGGACGCTTCGGGTCGCCAAGGCTCGGCCTGAGGTCTTGGAATGGACGAGGAGTGAGTTCATATGTGGGGCATGCGCTTCTCACTCTCGCATGCACTGGCGTCGCCACTCGCACCTTCCTAGGACTTAAGAGTTCAATCAGCTAGTGGCAGTAGATCTTTTCTACGTGGAAGTGGATGGAGCAAGCACGCCAGTTTTGAATGTCATCGACCATGGCAACAACTACCAGCAAGCATATCTGTTGGCCAACGATACCGCCCTCACGACCTGGCGTGCTTTCCTTCAGCTCTGTGTCAGGCCATTTGGGCTGCCCGAAGTTTTGCTTTCCGACGGTGGAAGTGAGTTTGAGCGACAGTTCGCGCGAGGCTGCGAGCACCAAGGGATTGTTCAGCAGGTGATTCCAGCGAGCTCTCCTCACTACAACGGACGCTGTGAGCGACACGGGGGATTCTGAAGGATGTTCTGTCCAAGGCTTCCCTCTCTTTCAGCCCTGCCACTAAGCAGGACGTGGAGGCTCTACTCTGCGAGGCCGCCGCCGCGAAGAACAGGACGTATCATCGGGGAGGTTGTAGTCCGGTCCAACTCGTTTTGGGACAAAATCCGAGGGTCCCCAGGGCCCTGTTGTCAGACGACGCCCTGGATCTGGTCGGGTCGGAGGATATCCTGGGAGAAACCGGTCAGGACTCGGCGGCCGTGGAGTTCGCTCGTCGCCACAAGATTCGAGAAACCACCCGTATCGCTATGGCAAATTTAGATGCCAAGTCCCGTCTTTCAGAAGCCAGTCGAGCTCGCCTGTACGCGGATCGACAATTAAGCTTGGAGAGTGGGCATATGTATGGCGCCGAGTGACGGCTGCCAATCGAACGCACTCGCTGCAGCGCGATCGCTGGACGGGGCTAGGCGTGGTAGTATACCAGCGGGGGGGTACCATCTAGGTTGCTATGAGAGCGAAGCTGTAGAAGTGCTCCGAGGAGCATATACGACCAGCTACTCACCAAGAGGCTCTCGGCGCCGAGCTGCTGCATTCGTCCCGTTTTGATCCGCTTCGGGAATCGGGGATCTTCTGACCCGGGTCAATCCAGACACGGGTCAGCAGGGAACCAACAAAAACTGCAATGCAGAAAAAAAAACTGCAACGCAGGTCTTCGCAAACCCAGGTCAGCCAATGTGCGCGGCCGCCTCGCGGCCACGAGCGGCTCGCTGGCCCGGGTCAGCCAGAGGGGGTCTTCGCAGGATCCTCCAGGATGCGGTGCCCTGACTGACCCCGTTTGCATTGACCCCCGTCTCTTAGGCCCCGAGGGAAGACATTCGCTCTCCGGGGCGTAAGACGGGGACCGTCGACGTGGCTGCGGAGGGCCCCCCCTCTCCCCGAAGCGTGGGAGCATCCTGGGACGGAGCACGGCCTGAACAGGCCAGCTCCCGAGGCCCGCGTGCTGGCCCCTCCCGCTTCCGCCCCCGCTCATTCGAGCTCCAGGGTCTCCCCAGGACGACGGCGTCGAGTCCACGGCTCCTCCCTCTGAGAACCGGCAACCCCCTCATCTGGGAGCCGAGGTCTCGGACGCTGCCGAGGACCGAATCAGCGAGCCTTCCGCTCTGGGCGACGGGGGCCTGCGAGGGCAGGCCCGCGTCCACCGTCCTACCTCCGAGCCCGAGGATCCCGCGGCCAGACCAAGGCCAACCCCCGTGGAGGACTTCCCCGGCTCGCAGCCCAAGGCGAACCGGAGGGTCGACCGAATCGAAGCTCGGTCTTCAACGGCCCCCGTTTCGGGTTCCGAGCCTATCCGAGTGTACGGCAGGGCCCCCCACGATCAGGCCAATGCCAGTTCGCAGGGCTCGGAGGTCTGCTCCTCTCGAAGCGCTTCCTGCTTCTCGGATGGGCGAGGCCATTGCTATTCCGGGGTCGACGGAAGCCCTGCCTGGAGAGAGCGAGGCCGACGATGTTCAGCGCCCCTCAAACGGGGACTCCACTAACGGGTACTTTGGCCAGTGACCCAGCGAACCCAACCCTTCCCGATGTGGGCAAAGCTGCAATGCAAGAAAAGGCTCTAAAGTTGCAACTTTCGGCAAAAATTCAAAGTACCCGTAAGTAAGTACGCGTTACGGTGCCGTTGAGATGCGGACCTCTTCCAGGACCGGAATCTGCTGGGAGAGCTGCAGGCATGGTCGGGCACTCCTTCTGGACAGGCCCTCCCTTACTTTTTCGGCCTTCAGGTGGATCCATAAGCTTTTACTGCGGCTGCCGAAGTCCTTCCCAAGAACCCTCGAGGAGCTGAGGCGGCCTGAAAAATCTCACCTCCCAGGAACGTGCGCAGTTTGAGGTGTCAGATCGTGCGGGATGGGAGGCCGTTGTGGCCCCCAGGGCAATCAAGGTTCTTTCGCCGGAACACTCTCGGATTGTTCGCAGGAGGTTTCCCGGCAGGATCGTCTCGTCTCGAATGGTGAGGAGGTTCAAGCCAACAGAAAGGGGTGGGCTCAGCAGCTAAGGCGAAGTCACGCTGGTGTGTCCATGGGCATCAAAGAGGGTGCGCCGCTGGGTCTCCCCAAGGGGGGGGGGTCCGATCCGTCGTCGGGGACCCCCCCCCTCCCCCCCTTCCCTGATCCGTCGTCGGGGACCCCTCCCCCCCCTTTCCCCGACCCGTCGTCGGGGACCCCCCCCCCCCTTTCAAAAGGGTGGGGAAGGGGTTCCGACCCCCCCCCCCTTCCCCCCTTTCGCCACGCCGCCCCCTGACTCCGGAGCCCGACCCCCGCCACCCCTACCCCTACTCCTCACCCTAACCCAAGCCCCTAATCCTAACCCCAACCACGAACCCCAGCCCCAAAGAGTACTCACTACTCGTTACTCACTACCCACTACTGACTACTTGCTAATCGCTACTCACTTCTCACTACCCCCTACTCACTACTCACGACTCACTACTCACTATCCACTACTCACTACCCACCACCCACGACTCGCTACTCACTACTCCCTACTCACTACTCCCTCCTCCCTGCTCACTACTCACTACTCACTCCTCATTACCCACTACTCACTATTCACTACTCACTACCTCCTACTCACTACTCACTAATCACTACTCATGACCACTACCCACTATCCACCACTCACTACTGCCTACTAACTACTCATTGCCTACAAATCACTACTCACTACCCACTACTCGCTACTCGCTAATCAC